AAACATGAACGGCACAGTGAAACCATTCATTTTACTCATTCTTCTTTTGACTCCCTTTTCACTGTGCCTCTCACGTACAAGGCTCGCCACGTTGATGAAGTTGAGCGCGAGCTGCCCCCATCCCCGTGTGCCATAACAGCCCACTTGTACGTTGTGAGAAAGAGGCAGAGTGAAGAGGGAGGGATACACACAGGGAGGAGAGATGGAGAGCAGACAAACAAAGAACGATAAAGGGGAAGTAAGGGAAAGTATGGAGTGTGGAGTGAAGATGAAGGCAAAAGAGGATAAGAAAAGGCTCAAGAATGAATCTGTCCTTGACGACAGAGAGGACATACATTGTAAGGATACCTAGCTGAGCATTCTCAGTGCAACAATTGCCACGACGGGTGGCATTGAGCATGCCCGCCATACACCCCCGACAAATGGCATGTCGATTGCAGGCCAAAATGAAAGAAGAACGGTCACCACAAAAGAGCATGCATTCAGTATAGCGACCATGGCCGCAAAATGGACATATAGTGTCCGGATGTGGAGGGTGCCTGCAGTCGGGAACAGTGGGACAGTCCTCTGCACACATGGATGCAGAAACCATGTCATTGTAGTGATTGTGACAGAGACGATGGCGGCTACAGCCGAATGTAACAGTGTTTGTGGTTGTGCAAAGGAGAAGGTCGCAGAGTGTTGGTGCATTGTCTTGCTGCAGCACGGGGCAGACGATATATATATATATATATATTGACGATATATATATATATATATATATATATATAAGATAAGATGAGAGATCAGACTGGAAAACGCGTCCAGTGTCCCTTATGTCAAATATCCACTCAATTCTTCCCTTCATTATGGTCAAGGGACCCTGAGACGGCAGCATTGATTACTTACTGTTGCAGGAAGGATGTACTACCGTTCCACCCCTGTTTCTTTTCAGTTCTCTAGGCCATATCCTCAATTCCCCTCTTTTGCTGAAAATCCTCCTCTTTAAGGGCGTACTTACACTAGCAATGTTTTAAATTTATCTGACCACACTGAAGGCTAGACCTGGACATATCTGGCGACAATTACATCCACAAAAAGTAAAAAAGTCCTATTGTGAGTATGCGCTAACTGAAAAGTAAAAAGTATTCTGAAGAATCCCTCTCAGTTACCTACTAATCTGAGCAGTCCCTCTCGAACCACCACCTTGGCCTGTCCTGTAAACTAGTTTTTGCTTAGGCACGGAAATGGCTTTCAGGAGGTTGTGGGTTCAATCCCCACTCACCGCCTGCGGTGCTCTTGGTGCCAACCAACTGAGATAGTGGACTTGCTCCCCCCGTTCGGTATTGTGTGTGGTGTGTGGGAGAGTGCTGGCCATAAACTGCCGTTACTCGATGGGGATGGAGGAAGTAGAAGGGAGGTGCAGCTACTGGCAAAATGCTCGGTCTTTGCCTTAGCTGCCTGCCCCCCCCACGGCGGCCCCACCCCTACTCCCTGACCACCGCCGACCAGGGCGGAAGCCAACATGCGTCCCCTTAATTGTGAGAGATAGGTATGTTTGCAGGGGTATAGGCTTAAGAGTAGTGGTAGGTAGGTAGTGAAAGGTGAAATTAAGAGAATAATATAGCGTAGTTTTTTTTGTTTTGTGCATGTGGTGAGTAGTGGAGCGAGGCCTATTTTTGTTGTTCTTGAAACGGTATTCACCAGTTCGCAGTAGCCGATGCAGATCCCAGGGCTCGATCCCGAGTCCTCACCTTACCTGTGTATAGTATTTGTGTCGACCCTGTGAGTTGAACCCGTGACCTGTGTGTTTGTAACAGTTGGTAGACTGTCGTAGGGTCCATAGGTAGCAGGGGTTCGATCTGTAGACCTGTCGAGTAGAAGTCTTAGGGAGTTCTAGAAGTCGTAGCTGTAGAACTTCTGAAAGGTCAAGGTCGTAGCTGCTACAGTCCTGAAGGGTCAAGGTCGTAGCTGCTACAGTCTTCGAAAGGCCAGGACCCAGACTTGCGGAAGGTCCTAGTAGTGGCCTTTCGAAGTTGCTCACGTTTAGGCTGAGGCAAGTGAGCAAGTGGGCAAGTGGGCAAGTGGTGAGCCCAACTGCAGTACGTCGGCGGTGCGACTGAATCGAGTTGGCAGTGCAAAACCATGCAGTCAGCAGTACCGGTCCCAGTCAGTCCTAGTCCAGTCAAGCAAGTACCATATGGGACTGTGTGCACCACGGGCATGGGAAAGGGCCAGACCAACGAACTACAGAAGTGTAAATCAAAGGGCAGCGTCCAGCCATTCATTCATTCCTGAGTGAGCCATGCGGAAGCGCTGCCACAGCGACTTGTGCTAGGTGGTCTGCAGTGAGCCCGAAGATGAAGTGGGCGAGAGAGAAGGAGCTTAGCCATAGCGATAGGTTAGCAGCAGCCATAGCTGCCATAGCTGTAGATAGAGTTCAGTGTGTGTGTGTGTGTGTGTGTGTGTGTGTGTACAGAGTATTGTGTGTGGGATATCCAGGGTGATCCTGTGTGTGCGAACAGAGAGTTGTGTGGGCGCTGAGTCGCCATAGCCATTGAAGTGAACTTGTACCTGAACTGTGTTCTTGGCTACCATATCTCTGAGTTTCGAGTGGGCGCCTGTCGCCAGTTTGCTGCGCACCTGTTTGAATACATCTGAAGTGTGAATGAGAACGAGTCTGATTGCATTCTTGCACAAAAGACAAAATATGGCGTTGTATCTTTCTTTTTTTCTCTCTGTTTTTTTCCCCTCGAGTGTATCTTTCCTGTTCTAGCGATTGATTCCCATTTTGCACGTCGCGTGAGTAGTGGAGCGACGCGGACAACAAGTGGTAGCTCAGTGGATAGAGCTCTGGAGTAGTCTGGAGGAGGTTGCAGGTTCGACTCCGGTTGACCCTCAGCCTCCCGTATGCGAGTCTGGTTAGCGTTAGGCTGACACCCCACGTACTTGTCCCCCACCTGGAGAGAGAAGGTTAACGGAGACCCTACCACTTGCCATGCCATTTATGCCTCAATTCAGAAAGTTCCCTGCAATCTTAGGGCTACATTTTACTGGTCTGTAATGGAGCTAGAATTGCATGATTTACGCTTGGGTTCTGGCAGCGCTGCAACCGAGAGGAACACGTAAAAGGGAAAGGGTGACTGACAGTCAATTCTCCCCCACAGGGAGTAATCAATGCTGATCAGGGGTCCTTCGGCCTTGACGGAAGGAAGCATAGAGAGGGTATTTCTATGCAATCTTTTTTCGGCTTCCCGGTGGAAATGATCTGGGCTGATGCTCCCCAGACTGGATCTGGAGCCAGGACCATCAAAAAAAAGAAAAAAGAAAAAAAGAACAAGGAGATAAAACAACCACGCACCATGCATGCTGTCCTTCGGGGCGTCCATTAAAATTGGATTAAAATTGGAACGATACAGAGAAGAAGATTAGCACGGCCCATGGGCACTTAAAAAAAAAACAAAAAAAACACCATGCACGTGCCATGTCGTATCCGACCCTTTGTTTGATGTGAGTAGGCACCCCGTGTCTCGTCTTCAGAGGAATTATCTACCACTGTAGACATCTGAATACAACAGTAATTATTGACTGCATCTTTTTTGAAAGAATAATCCACAGGATGTTATGGCTAGCAATAATAACGCAAAGAAGAGAAGTTTGATTGTTCAAGTGGTTGGACTTGTTGCAGGTAGCGTTCAACAAGAACATCATGAGGCCATGTGTTACACTGGAGGGAGATTTGTACAACCCGTCTGGACTGCTCACGGGAGGGACACGGAGGTATAAACTTTTTTCTCGGCTGTGCTTTCTTGTGTGTCCTTACAGCTTTCGGCAACTTGCCTGTGTAGACTCTTCTTCCTGTGCTTGGTTTGATCTCAAACGCTGTCCTGTCTCCGACTGTCCGTTTCCTGGCTATGTTATAGCCAGTGTTGAGGCTGGGCTGGCAATGCCTGGCACAACCACTGGCACAACCACTGGCATTTTGAAAACAACTGATAATGTTAAGTAAGGCATGCAGACGCCGTGGTAGGATTCTCAGGTCAATATAGCAGGGACATTTTTGTATCAGAAGTAACAGTTGGATTGTGGCGACATTTGCCCTGTCAGTAAGTTGTTGGTTTACAATACATTCTCAGGGCTAGAGTTATTCATCACACTTGTTTTTTTGGCTCCAGCTTCATTCTGGGGAGTGTCAATCCGGTTCCTATTGCACCGGCAAGTCAGAATACAGCATACAACACACTCCCCACTTCTCCCCTTTATGGTAGAGAGACCCGAGTGGTCCCCCCCTAACCCCTGCCTAAGTTAGCTTATTGCTACTGGCCCATTATTGCCTGTCCCATCCTCCTGTTTTAAATTTCTGCATCGGCTATGGCTGCCATCTCCCTCACGCTGAAACTGCCTCAACTTCCCTTAAGTCATCCCTCTCAGTCTGCCCAAGGCAGATTGCCGTCAAGAACCCTAAACCCTCGGGGGGCTCTGGTCCTGTGCATGTCTTTTTTAAACCTCCCTAGAAGTGGGTTCCACCGGTGACCCCAGATCACTGCCACGTAAACCCTAAAAACCCAAGCCTGCAGCCACTTCTTCACAGCCCTGTTTTCCCCCGACCTCAGGCAATTGGCCTGGCCACGACCTGAGATGGATTTCTTCGGAGTTCTCACTTTGTTCTACAGAGACGTGATATAGACTGGGAGCGCTCTCTCTTGTTGGTCGGAGAAATGTCTTAGGGCGTACTCGCACGAGGACTTCCTTCCCAGTATGTAACTTCAATACCGTCCACAGCCGGTCCAAAACATTGTGATGGGAGTATGCCCGGGGTCTCCTCACGAAAGAGCACAAGCAGCATCTGACAGACATGAGTACACATCCGAGTTGAGTGGAGAAAAGATATGCCATATAACTGCAGTGTGCAACTGGCACCATTCTCACAGATGTCGGGCATTCGAACTGGTGCCAAGTGGGATTATGAGTGGATTGAGTACTTCCTAAGGGCATGTAGGGTCACAACTACCGTCTTCACCCGAATAGAACGCCCGGTCATTATCGCTGCATCTGGACCGAAAGTTGTCCAAATACAGCTATAATGACCGGGCGTTCTATTCGGGTAAAGATGGTAGTAGAGCGGCGAAGTTCTCATGCATGCATGGACAGGCTCCGAGGTAGCTGAGGAGAAATGATGTCAGGAGAAAAACTTTTGTGATTCGCCAATTCTCTCAGCTATTTCGTCCTTGTCTTCCCCTTCCCCAACCCCGACCGCCCCACACCCCTCCCCCGGCACCTGTTTCAATGAGAGGGGAACATGGAGAGAGTTACAAGCACACCTTCAAACTCGTCTTGACTGACAAAACGTTTTTGGGTTTTTCAGGGACTCTTAGGAGGAAAGCTTTATATCCTGCAACCGCATGTCAGAGATCTTGATTGCAGGGCATACTACTTGCATCGATGAAATTAAGACAAAAACTCCTTTAGGTTTTTACTATTTAGATAATTTAGTACTTTTTTGCACGATTATTAAACTCACTATGGCACCTGCTGTATTGATTCGGTCGTTAGTTCCAAACTAGTTAATTGTTGGATATCTTTGCTATTTGACAATTATTTGTCTAGGCGCTTTAGGGAATTCAGGAAGAATCATTGTTGAATCATGTTCGATTCGTGAAACATGTCTACACTTTACGGTATACATCAGTTTACTCTCCAACTTTCTTCTTGATTCTGTTTCAAGTTTGAAGCAACTGAATACAGCTTTTAGCCCTCTTTCGACCACCACTCTCGCTTATGTATCTGTATGGCGGCGCCGTGAGTCAGATTCAGGTTACTACGCCGAAGCGTCGGCTTATGTACCAACTGTATGGATCAACCCTGCAAGGAAGCGAACGTGAGGCGGAGCACTGGGTGGAGGAAGGAGGAGCTGAGATTGAGAAAGGAGACAACCATGGCGATGGAGGGCAAGTAGCAGTAGGAGGGAGAGGGCGAGACTATGAAGGTAGAGGGAGGAGGAGTCAAGCTGGGCTACGGAGGTAGATGGAAAGGGGAGAGTAGAGGTGGAGGAGGAGGAGGAAGATGAAACCGGCAAGAGAGAGTTACCTTTTCGGCTATGGTAGACCTTCGTCACCATGTCCTTGGTTGGGGCTGCATGGGGAAGCCCCCAACACCCTGTTGGGGTACTGGCTGAATGTCCGCTTCATGTGGGGTTGTGCCAGGTGCGGCTATCGCAGTAGGATTTGAAAGAGAGATGCTAGTAGTGGGTTGTCCTTTGAGCATCTGTGCTGCCGGTAGGCATGGATGAACTGCCATAGCTAGTCTTTTAACCATTAGTAGGAGCGAGCGAGCGAGAGAGCGAGAGAGAGAGAGAGAGAGAGAGAGAGAGAGAGAGAGAGAGAGAGAGAGAGAGAGAGAGAGAGAGAGAGAGAGAGAGAGANGAGAGAGAGAGAGAGAGAGAGAGAGAGAGAGAGAGAGAGAGAGAGAGAGAGAGAGAGAGAGAGAGAGAGAGAGAGAGAGAGAGAGAGAGGAGAGCTCTTTCAGTGCCAGCGGTAAGGAGGATCATTCAGATATTGATTCTTGTTCATTCATTCATTTGTTTTGGATTTGATTTTTAATAAGAGGAAGAGGTGTTTATGTGAAGAGCGATGATAATGGCAATGGGAGGGGGGACATGACCTTGTTTCAATCTTGTGGGAGAGGAATAGGGAGATGGCATAGTTTCAATCTGTGGCAAGAGGAGGAGGGAGAAGACCTTCTTCGTCTTCTTCTTTCTTCCTCCTTTCTTCTTCTCTCCTGGTCTAAAATTCTCTAAATCCACTTCTTCTTGAGTTGCGATGTATGACATTGTCTCAAAGTTCAGTTTTGCATTATGAACTCAACAGCGTCATAGCATTTATCCTGATATTTGTGATTCTTGATGTGCAGCAAGGGAGGATCAGTCTTGACCAAACTGCATGAGCTCTCCAGCATTGAGATGGAACTTGAAACTCATCAGGAGGCACTTTCCAAAGCAACTGCAGAGGTGAGCCAATGAGTCTGCATTCCTGCACTGCATCGAGGGTCTAACGTCAAACACAAGCAATATAACTGTTTTTTTCTTGACTGTTTTGTGGATATCTGCTTCCTAATGGGATGAAGTGTGTTCTCAAATTGTCATTCTTTGTCTGGAAAAGTCATGTGCAGTAGGGTAACAGGGAGACAATAGTGTTATCGCCTGAGGGGGTTCTTTGAGTCAATCCACGGTGAATGATTCTGGACCTTTGCGGCGTTGTAGTAGTGCGTCACAGTGCCTTGTGTGCAAGTGGATATTTTAACCTACAAAGTATCTCCTGGCTGAAGTCAATATTTTTGCATCGGACTACCGTCTTCCCCCGAACATAAGGCATATGCATTGTAAATGAATACGGTCCGTTTAATTCGCATATGCCTAATATTCGAGTTCAGTAGAACAAGTTTACGGACCATGGCGCGGTCCAGGCTGAGTAAGGTCAGTTCTGGCCAATGGCGGAGGGCCTCATTCCACTGACCATCACACCAATAAAAAGGTAAAAAAGGTGGCATTGTATCTTTCCATGTTCTAGCTGAAGATTCATTCTCCCTTTCTCCACTTGGGGTCTCGCTCCACTCCTCACCAAACGTGCAAAATGAGAATGAATCTTCCACTAGAACATGGAAAGATTCTACGCCGTATTTTTATTTCATTTTGTGCTTGTGGTGAGCAGTGGAGCAAGGCCGTTGGTGAGCGGTAGTTGAGGCGCATAGAATCCCTCCTGGCTTCAGAGTGCCGCTTTCTTGGCTGCGGTCCTGGCTTCATACTGCCATTTTCTCGGCGGCAGCCGCTATGCCCAAGGCCAAAACACAACACCTCTGTGATTAGGCGCCGGCAGGTTCAGCTCGCCAACAGTTGCAGGGGCCTGTCCCTGTAGCCAGGGCAGCAAGTTAAAAAAACGGAGCATGCGCTAACCTCCAAAAGAAAAGAAAAAGTAATGTTCCATTCGAATACGATTATACAACACTGTTTTGAAGTTTTTTTTTTTTGCAATTCGAATAGAACATGCCCCTTTTATTCCAATACAACAGAGATGCATTTTCTTCGAAGAGCCCTTCTATTCAAGAAAAGTGAAGTAGCCTTTTTGAAAATTCGATTTTTTTTCCCCTTCGAAAACTCGTATACAACGCACATGCTTTATGTTCGGGGGGAGACGGTAGTCTCCTAGAGCAGTGCTCAGGGTGTATATCCAGCAGTTAGGGGAGCATGAGAGGGCTTCTCTCTGTTTTAATGAATTTCTCCAATGTGCTTTCAGAGTGTTCTCCCTACACCTTGAAAATGGTCCTTTGCCATCTTGTTGGCTTATATCCCGTATTGCTTCACGATTCACAAAGTCCTCCAATGCAGTCTTTGAGTGTTTGTCGGCCAAGTGAGTAGGCATGTCCTATTTGTTCTCGCTGGCTTCCTGTAGGAGGTAGGTTGAGCGGTATTTTGTCTGTACCTGAGGGCTCGCATCTCAAAGGTCCCCTGTGTGACAGTGGTGTTGGAGACAGTGGAGTATCTTGTTGCTATTGCCGGCACTGTATTTGCAGATTTTGTTCCCTAGAGTGCTTGATCCATGTGCAAGTGACTAAGTGTGTACTCGCCCTAGAGCTTTGAGTGTGACAGCATGCGCTGTCAGACGCAGCTCCCATGAAGTCCTGGCGTGAGTATGCAGCAAAGCTGCCTATCTATGTTGATTTCAGTTGATAGTACTTGATACCTTCAGGTGCACTTTTTACAGGCAGCGAAGCTTACGTTTCGCCTGATTTTATGTCTCTTGATTGATACGTGTATGGATGTGAAGGCACTATTCCAGTCATGTATATCATCTTCTTCAGTTAAACGACCAGCGCCGCCTAAACCTTGAAAATGCGCATTCCAATGCCCATGGCTGGCCGTGGGGTTTGCTGGGCTACTGGCCGCAGGCGACTGGCGCCTCTCTGCAAAATTTTGAGTACACTCAGTACAGTGATTTTGGCAATTTTTAGTGCTGAGTGTTATTGGAAAAAAAAGAATCAGGGACATGGATTTCGTGGTGATCTTTCCGTGAGGAATGTTTTTTTGAAAAAGAAACGAAACTCTGCATCGCCGAAAAACTTATGCAGTCTTATGGTGACAGAAGAATATATTTGTTCCCCCCTGCCTTCCAGTGATAGACTCACATCTTCTTGGTTTGGTGCTCCAGACCAGGAAAAAAAAGGTGTCGGTTCATTTATGTTGCTTCGGGGGCAGCGCTGGATTAAACCACCACCCCATTGCTTCTGGCGTCAGACCATTGAGTTTACCCCAGGGTCCCTAATTTGAAGTTGCAGCCACTTTTCTTTCATTGTGAAAACCGTCCCACGCCCAGAGAGAGGTTGGCCAAGGGGATTGGTGGTTTAAGGGCTGTGCAGATCCTTTGTCTTTCCATTTTGCTTCGCATCGTATTTGTTGCCCACAATCCTCCTGATATGCAAAAGGGGAAAGTTGTATGCTCTTCAGCAACTACCTTCACATTAACATTTCCCCCCCATGATAAGCGCTCATAAAGCATACTCTGGTTTACTTTGCTGTGCCGTCCTTTCAGCTAGCAAACTTGTCATCTGCAATGAAGGAGCACAGGAAATTGACGTCAGATCTTGAGCTCTGCTCTCATCAGCTGACCCTTCTGCAAGGGCGACTGGAACAGAGTGAACATTATAAAGTAAGTACTATGCTATGGTGCCTCTGGGTTTCCGTTATGGAATCTTTCATCCGGTATCTACTCGTTGTAACAAGGTTTCATGAGTCGCTATGGGTGCTATGGGTGTAAGTGTGAATGGGTGCATGTGATGTCTTTGCGTAAGATTGGGTCCTTGTAATTGAGCAGAACGAAGCGCTTGAATTCTACTATGATAAGGGGTATTACCTGTAATTGAGCAGAACGAAGATGAAATTCTCCTCTATGTGCTTTCTGACCACAACTGCTTGTCAGTGCTTGAGAGTCTACGAGATAGTCACCTATAATACGGCTCTCCAACTCAACTTACGATTAGGATAGATAGATATTTCTGGATATAGGCCCCTTCGGAGAGACACAGAGAGATATATCCGAATACGGCTCTCCAAAAATGAAGGCATTTGACAAGACTTCAGAGAGAACAAGATGACTTGCAAAATAAGATGAAATGCCAAAGCTTGATTTCCAGTTTTGGTGGAAAAGTGACGACCCGAATGTAAAGATAAAAGGTCGGAGTAGTCCCAATAACTTAATAAGTCCAGATAATCATATTCCAGGAAGAAGAGTGGATATGCGAAGCGAGATTCTTTTGGCGAGAGACAAGGAGAATCGCCCAATTGGATTTCAGAAAGAAATAAAATTTAATAAAAAGATTTCGTTTTGGAGAGAACAAGGTAAGACTTTGAAAAACCCATTCACTTAATCGATTGATGCTGGCTGCATTTCAGACTTGCCTCTTCCTAGTGGTTGCTCGGATACAAACTGATGCATGCCCAGTGATGATCCAAGGCAATCCAAAGTCCAAAGCTCACCAACATGAGAAAGAGATTTAATGTGACACAGTGGAAGACCCAAAGCGGACAGGACATGGATTGACAATGCAGCAAAACGGCAATGGGATTGATCGCAGACCAGCTGAGGGGGCTCCGAACACAGAAGAATCTCCCCACTGTAATCATACACAGGTGAAATGGACGGTGGGACATGGAGGGCGGGATGATCAAGAAGACGAAGAAGAAGAACCAACGTATGGCAGCACCAAATAAAAACCTGTTGTCCACCTCAATTCCTCACTTCTTGCTCGGATCCAAACAATGAATCTCAGACCTGCAGGAGTCATGGAGCCTGGCTCCCATATGAATGTCCAGTCACTGCCTATCGGTCTCTTTCAAGAAGAAGAAGAAGAAGAAGAAGAAGAGATGGAGGACGAGGAGAAGAAGTATGGACGTCTCCTCCTCCTCTTCTCTCACTCTGTCACGAATGATACTGACTGGTGAAAGGCAGAGCCTTGAGCTGTTGACGCACTGCAGATGTCTCAAAGAAAAAGGCCAGCTATGACTGGTGGCAGACCTCCTGGGAAAGGGGGGAATGCCTTTCTCTCTCTCCCTCAGGATATGACATGCTTCTGCCTGGTGGCATCCAACGATCAGGGGAGTTGGCATTTTCTCCCCACTTGGGGGGAGAAACGCTCAATCTCACAAATGGCTGACGGAACTATATTTCTGCGTGACTGTCAAAAGGAGAAGCAGGGGAAAACGTTAGAGATAGATAGATAGATACTTTCGCGCCACTTATATTTTCACGGACCATGTACATTTTGTCGTTCCTTCCCACGGGGAAAAATTAGAGAGAGAGAGAGAGATAAGAGCAGATCAGATCAGATAAGGTAAGATAAGGAGAGGAGAGGAGAGAAAAGGAGATAAATAGATGTGTGTGTGTGTGTGTGTGTGTGTGAGAGAGAGAGAGAGAGAGAGAGAGAGAGAGAGAGAGA